TATATATAACAACGAGTACATGACATAACAGTGAAAATGGGAAAACGTGTTGGAGCTGTGGTCTATTTATTAGCACATGTACTGTACCTGATTTCCTATCGCTTCTCTTGTCATTTCAATGAAAATGTCCGAAATTTAAAAAAGGGTCATTATTTGATGTTCTTTAAATCATTAGCAACTAAGACAAATTTTAGATAATGAACTGTTCTATCTATCTAGATAGATAGATAGATAATTCATCATAAGAAGACAATTCATAATTTAGTATTTGTCTAAGACACACACAAACACAAATATATACAGTATATATATATATACTGTATATATTGGTCGGGTTGGTCACTACAGGCCAACCCGAGCAATTTACTTGTTCATGTAATGACTGTATGAAATGCATTTGATGTGTGTGTGTAAATGCCTGTTAATGTCTGTGTGTGCGTGTGACACATTACCAGCTGATTTACACACAGCTGAAGATATCACTTTCTAAACTGAAAGAGAAAATGCTGTCTGCAGTAGATATTTGATCCTCTAGTGCTGGGGTCACCCTGACCTCAATATTGTTCAATTCTTCAATGAGTTCAAAGTTCGAATCCAGATGATACTGACAGCATCTTCAGTGCTTCATAGAGTAATCTGTCTGCTCTTTTCTCAGAATACTGAGGACAGATACTTAACAATCTCTATATAGACATCAGTAGTACTTCTGACACTTTCGTCTGTGCGTATAGTAAAAACGATTTAATATTTTACATACTGTATATATTAACATTTAACGAAGTAAAATAATAAACTTGTTTCACATTTAATATTAAAGTATTTAAAATATATGAATAATTAAGAATAATTCTTAATATATTGTTATACACTCTTAACAGGTCATCAGTTGTTTAATTTGATAAAGAAATGTAGTAAAATAATTAAATCACTTGTGGTTAACACCGAGATCATTAATGTTATTCAACTGTGGCGGCTGATAATGCAATATCTTATTAAACCGAGTCTCTGCCATGGCATTCATATATCTGTTCAGTTTGCTCAAAAAGTCAGATGGGGCCAAATTTAATTAGGTAACGGAACAATAAACATGCTGGTCTTGCCCAGTACAGCATGGGACCACCTAATCATCAATACACATGAGGAATTCAATGTTACCGTTATCATGCAATATAATTTAGGTTATTCCACAAGATGACAAACGACTGACAGCATTTTCTATTACAGTTTAATCCATCTTTTTGTTCTTTCTGTCTTTTTTTGGCCAATTGATGGATGGACTTACACAAATAGATGACTCTAGGATGTGTTTTATTTGCATGAAGATTTGTGGGAAGCGAAAGAAAAACTGTCCATCAATTAGAGCATTGTGAGGGGACATCAAAGCTGCTGCTGGTAAGCAAAGCATTTTGATTGCTTTGCCTTTGATCTGAAGGCATGCTCCCACCTGAACGTGAATTTGAAATTCATATGTAATGTGTTGTATATTTATCTTTGGGAAATAGAAATACACAACTGATGTCTAGTAAGTATGAAAATAAACAATTGGAATTAATGAATTAAAAACAGCAAAACAAGAAAGACCGACTCATCAACAACAATAGGCCTATTTAAAATAAAATGAAGTCTAGTATTTTTGAAAGCACTTTTTTGTAGGTTATTTTCTATTTATCAACATCAGTTATTTGAGATGCTGGCCTCAAAAAGAGTCAAACATGAGTCAATTATGATTCATTCATTTTTTTTTTTTGCCTGACACAATAGCGGAGAGCAGACAGGAAGCAAAGTGGGAGAGAGAGGGAGGCGGGATCAGGAAAGGTCCTCGTCGAGCCGGGATTCGAACTCGGGACGCCTGTCTTTATAGTAAACGCAACAAATCTCCAAAGTCATCCAGTTTAAACGTTGAAATTTATAGACCGTTTTACATTTACATTATCATTTTCCAATAAAATATCTAAAACCAATTTAACTGAGAAGCAAAATTGCACAAGATATTAAGACTTATTTCTTAGTTATATCTATTATTTATTATTACTCTAATGATCTGTCTAAATTATATTTATCATTTTTGCTTGTTTTTAAAGCATAAATATAACTAAATTTAATTTTAAGTAGCAAGAGGAAGAACTAAAGAAAGAAAAACTTAATTTAGAATATAATTTCAAAAAGTCTTATATCTTAAACATTTTGCTTGTCAAGTAAAGTATCTTGTATGAGATTATTTTAGATAACTAAAAAAAAGCAAAAGCTATTTTTTCAGTGCTTGACCCAAATTTATTCAAAGAAACTTTGTACAATCAAGACGCATGTTACCTTAAAGAGCTATTTCTACCTGATTTAACCCATAAAATGAGTTTTGGTTGAGTGATGTTAAATAATATTTTTGATTTGTATAATTTTTTAAGTGTTCCTTTCGGGGCTGAACCCACAACCTTAACATTGCCATCACCTTGCATCACCAGTTGAGCTACAGGCTCATTAGTTATTGCTAAATAATAATTGAGCAGTTTGTAATGCCACCTTCATATGCATTCCTAATTTAGACATTATTATATCTTACAGTTAAATGGTGTCTATGAAAGGAGCAAATGTCAAACGCTTAATCTGCCGCAGGTAACGTGAGAGTAGAAAAATTCACACCTCAATTTTCAAACCTTCTGAAAACCTTTTGAAAAAAGGCCGTGACACAAGCTGCTCATTTATTATGATGCTAATGTTCTGTTCAATTGCAATAACACTGTCTGTGTGGAAGGAAACCATGTGAATTGTAAACTGATAGCAACAGGCATTCAAATGGCACACAAGTACATTTTTAAATGATTGGCAGTTTGCCTTGTTTATCCAGCAAACCTAATATGACTTGAGACAAACGGACTAAGGCCTCAATCAAAATGTCTTGTTTCTTTTCTCTTGATAGTCTTTCTTTTATCCGCAGGCGAGTGGTGAGTAATGTTTCAGTGCTACATAAATGCCATTATGTTCCATGTTAGATCTTTGTCACATGGTCAGAGGGCATCGCAGAGCACTCTCACTTCATTAGTTCTGCGTTGTCTGTGTCTTTGCTTTTACCTGTTGCCACCAGCAATGTTTTCTATCACCATCAATAATTCTTGATTTGGTTCTGTGGTGACATTTGAAGGTAGGATCCTGAACAGACACAAACATACCATGGGTGACTAACTAAGACATTTGAGAACAAAGGAAGAACACGGCAGAACTTGAATGCCATTTGTGGAAGAAATATTGCCACTGGTGATCAAAAATCTATATTTGGAGTTTTTGAATTATTCAAGTCATTGTTCTTTGAGTTATTTGCCCTTCGTTGTGCTGTAGTTGGCTCTGCAATTGCCCTCAGGTGTAGGTCACATTTGCTCATGTTGAACAGTGTGTTATTGTTTTAGAACACTCTCTTCGCCTTTCTGACGAGCAAAAAACAGCGAGTGGGAAGTTGATGGTATGAAATGCAACATTAAAATAGTGTTGGTTGTATATTTTATGTGCAGTAAAATAATCAGACAATACATTGTTATGCAATAAGGTACTTTATTACATAAATGGGTTTAGACTACAGGCTACCACTGTTAGTGAAAAGCTGTGTGTTTTGGCCAAAATATGACTCAATAATCCACAATTACACTTCCAGTAAAAAAATAAAAGGCCCATCCCCTGTTGTCCTCTCTCATCAAAATCTACCAACATATTTGTTTTGAATTTTTGTACTGTTTTTGCTTGTAAACAGTGCTTGATCTGTGCATATTCCTCTCCTGATTCATGCGAGACAGCTTTTTCACTGACAGCAATATTAAAAATTAG